TTTTTTTTTTTTTTTTTTTTTTTTTTTTGTTACGTTCCTGCATTAATTCTTTGTACACTGTAAACACTCTGAAAGATTGAACAGTGTAACGGATATTGGATGATAGACCTGAGGTTATTTGCTGTATATAATGTGACCACACACTACCGCGTAAAACAACAATTAAGTAAATGAGATTATCTGAAAAAAAAAAACTAAAGTATCTGTTGAAATTCTATAACTTTACTAATCTTTTTGCCAAAAACATCTGTACATAACAAGTAATGTCACTGACTTAATGGTTTATACAAAATTATTATGATTATTATACAATGTAAAAAATGTCTTTATTTGAAAATTTTTTTTTTTTCAAGTTTTTACTTCTTACATTAATTTGTTTATTCACTGTTTGTGGTTAGTGATAACTTAATAGAAAATGAGAAAAAAAAGCAGAAGAAAAAAACGTTTGGAAGAAGTGCATTTTGCCTGTTTAATTTTATCAATTATTGTACTAACTTTGATCAGCCGTAACTTCAGGTTGTTTGGTACAAGGAAGAGGAAACAGTGAAAGAGTCTGAGAGGATTGAATTACTTTTTGCTGGTAATCATTGTTCGTTGACCATACGTGGAACTACAGCTTCGGATGCCGGTGTTTATACGGCAAAAGCTTCAAACAGTATTGGCGAAGCCACAAATTTTTGTCGTTTAACTGTTCACCCAAAAGTGCAGCAAATTCCACCACCAACACCGCCAAAACCAATACTGATGAGGCCTCCATCATTTTCGCCAAGTCTTGACAATCAAATCTTATTACAAGGACAACAAGCAACTTTTCAGGTATTTATTCTGATTTACGAGACACTTAATATGCTTCAAAAAATGAGTGAACGACTTTACCAATACAGTTAGCCAATATGCAATTCAGGTAAAAGTTGACGGTGAACCAAAACCAAGAGTACGATGGACGTACAACGAGAAACCGTTGTTCCCAACTAGCGAAGTAAAGGTCGTTGAAGAAGCTGATGGTTGGCATATGGTTCGCATCGATAAAGTCCAACCGATGCATTCTGGCATGTATACGGTTATTGCTGAAGTCAGTTCTTCTTTTCGTACTTGTTAACTCAATCTTCCTCTCACTTCTAAGCAGGAAGCTCTTCTTAATCACTATATCATTTTCTCATTTTCTAGAATGAAGCAGGTGAAGCAAGATCCGGAGCCTCACTTTTGGTTCAAACAACAACTTTACCAGCTATACAACGAGAACGCATTACCGATACACCAACTATGGTTGGTTTTACTTTTTTGTTAGAACGCTGCATATATACCTCTTTCAACTTTTTGTCTTTTTTCTAAGCAAAAATCTTTACATTGAGGTCTGTCCAATTTTATTCTGTTCTCTTCTCTTACTGCGGAGCTGTGTGTCATTTCGGGTTTTAAACTTTGGTATTTGGGTCTTTCAGAATTGTTATGAATTTTTGCTGACTTGTTTGCTGTCTCTTTGGGAGTTTGGGTCTTTCGTTTTGGTAAAAAGCTTTTTCATCATTCGTTCATGGAACTGTGAGAACCACCATATTAATTTTTTGAGAACATTTGACTTTTCTATCATTTTTGAATTTCCACCGTGGCGTCTCCAGAGACACCATTGCTTCAGTTGAGTATTGCTGAATTAGCACGGAAATAGCATGAGTTTTTTAAGAGTTTTTAAGGCTGTGCTAGCTGTGGAAATTAGTGTAATGTATGTGAAGTTTTTTAAGAATGACGGGTTTTGGAGCGATACTGCATTGTTATCATCACCAACTCCTCCTCCAGTACCAAAACATCGGTACCGCACCGAAGGGATCGAAACAATTGAGACACGAAAGCAAACTGAATTCGGTTTGAAACTGCTGTTCTTTTTCTTTTTTCAAATTCTTTCAGCACAAAGTGTATTTTTTTTTTTTGCGTTGAAGTCATTAAGTTTTTCAGAGTTCAGTACAACTGCAACAACCCCGGAATTCATTAGACCTTTCCAAAACGAATATACTGCAAATGAGGGAGAAAATTTTAAAATGGAATGCTTAATGGTCGGTAATCCAAGGCCTAAAGTTTCTTGGTATTACAACGACCGACCATTAAACGTTAACACAACTTTTTGCCGGGTATAAGTTTTGCAAAGGTTGACCTCAACATACTGAGTTTTGTGCATTCTACTACAGAATTTTTTAAAAGTACCTTGCACAGTCATAAGCGGCAGTCGTACTTTGTTCTAAGATATTAACACAGCAACTCTCTTACTGTCGTCATTTTAGGTTTCTAACATTGGTGACTCTTATTCAATAATCTTTGAGCCAGCACGTTTAGAACACGCAGGATATTATAAAATGGTTGCTGAAAATATAAGAGGTAAAACGCAATCGTTAGCTTTATTACACGTTCGTCCAGCATCTTTGCAGCGGTATACTCCACAGAAACCTCTTACTAAACAGGTAGATTATTCCAATGAAATTCCAATGTACTTTCTTTTTGAAAATTCACTAACTCTGCTACTTAGTAATCGCATGGAATGCATTTAAAGTATCACATCGAGAAGGTTACTGTATTGTAGCATATTCAAGTAACTGAGGAATTTGGTGAATACGAATATGAAGAGCAGATACCAACTTATTCGGAAAAGAAAAAGGTATCAATCATGAATTTTTGCGGAATTTTAACAGTGATTTCTTTAAATTATATGATTTCTTAAACTGTTTTTTTTAAACATTGTGGTACTTTTTTAAGTATTAGTAAAATCTTTCAAATTTTCTTTTAACTTTAATTGTTAAACGGAACTGTGCTTGAAACCCTCATCGTTTATGTAAACAAGTGACACTTAATTTAGGTGATTGAATCTTATGAAGAAGAACAGCGAAATGCACAAAAACACACCACTCGTTTACCAACTCCACCACCAGCCAAAAAGCAACTAATAACCACTCACGAAAAAGAAGAAGTAAATTGTTTTTTCTAATTTTTTTTGCTAATCAAACATCACATATTGCCTGTTATTATTATAAGGTAATAGTTTTTTGCTTCCCAGTTTAATGAAATGAAATAAAGTTGCAGAAAGTTCTTGAAGCTTACGACATTGAGCAAAGCATGAAGAGTTCAGGTCGTCCGCCACACTTTACGCAAACACTTGTTTCCTCAGTAGCGACTTGTGGAGATTCAGCAAAGTTTGAAGGGGTTGTTACTGGTCAGCTTTTTGGCAAAGATTATGGTCTTTTCTTCTCTATGAACAAAAAAGTTTGAAATATTATTGTAATCTATTTAGCTCTTAGAAAATAATAGGTTTTTTTAAAAACATATTTTCTATTGAAAATTTAGGAAATCCTAGTCCGGAAGTGCAGTGGACAAAAGATTCAGTAGTGCTTAGCAGGGCAGTTGATCCGGAATTGTCTTTTTCTAACATTGGTGGGCGAGTATCGTTAACGATTCGTTCATCAAGATTAGATCATGAAGGCAAATACATGTGCACAGCCAAAAATGCATATGGAGTAGCAACTTCCAGTGCTCAATTAGTCGTTCGGCGTATGAGTTATAGTTTGTTTATGTCTTACCGCGAGAATGAGAAAAGGATAATTGTTATACTAAACTGTTAAAAATCAAAGAAAAACTTTTTTCACCAAATAGTAAATGTTCAATGTTGCTAAAGCAAAGTAAAAAAGATTTGGATTTTGTGAGTAAATTTTTTCTTTGCAGCTAAAACTGTGGCACCAGATTTTATAAGCCGTTTAATCAGCGAAGAAGTTGCTGAAGGTGGTTGCTTGAAATGGTCAGTTCAAGTCACCGGTGATCCAACACCAAAGATCGTTTGGTTACGTGATGGACAAGAGATACCAAACTGCGAAGAGGTTCAACTGCTAGACGTAAGTGACAGCGAAAGGTCTAATCAAAAATCAAAAACTTGCTTGAAATTTAAGGCTATTGATGTTCCTTTTTTTTCAAACAAAAATGAACTTGTTCTTTAATTAAGCTTTTTAGTCAATATGGCAGTTTTTTAACTTTGTTGTTTTAGGAGGGGAATGGCGTTCATTCAATGATAATAAAAAAGGTGGAATTAGCAGACTGTGGTCAGTTTACGTGCCTTGCCGAAAATGTTGCAGGTGAAGCTCGAAGCACTGCCGATCTTGTAGTCAGACGTAAAGGAGATGAACCGGGCAATTATTTTCATGTTACAAAGGTTTGTCATGCGTCTGCATAGTTTTAGCTTCATTGTTATCGTTATAGATGCCATTTCTCCATTTTTTTTTCTAATAGTTATCAGTCTAACTTCAAATTATGACATACAGTTGTTTTTTGCAAGTCAGTTGCTTGATTTGATAGCTGTTTCTGTATCCAACAGTAAATTTATAGGTGACGCAAGAAAAACAGATCAAAGGCGAAGATTACAAACAAACGGTTAACCAGACATTTGCTATCGAAAATCCAAAAGTGAACACCAATTGATTGCACATTGGATATAAGTAAAACTAACTGTTTAACTACAATAATTGTACTGTACAGTTTCCTCCTTCCTTTTCTTACTAATTTTTTTTGTCTTGTTATTTAAATTTATTGAATGAAAAGTTAATATATGCAAGCAAAAAAACATATGGAAGAAAAAGATTTTTATTCTATTATAATGAGTTGCAATCACTGGTGATTAACGTTTTTTCTTTTATCTTTTAATAAAGTTTTTCTTCTTTTTTTTTACCGCAACTTTCTGTACGACTGTTGTTTGTCCAGTATTTCCATGTGATGTATTAATCGTTTAATGATGACAGTGTATTGGAAAGCTGTTGAAAACACGTTGCAACTGCTGCAAAAAACTAGTCAAAAAGAGTATTCATCGCTGAAGACGTTGTCGTCCTCGAATTTTTATATCTTCAAAAAATTTCTTCTGCTTTCATTTTTCTTTCTTTTTTTCTTTTTTTCTTTTCTTATTTCTTAATTCTTTGAAATTGGTAGTTTTTTGTAAGGCTGAAAACACATTATTAACTACAACAGAATCAATTCTAACAGAGGTGGTCTTTTTTTAGACTGCTTTAGTTGAAGATTGTCTGTTTTACTCGTCGGTTAAATCAAAACTTTGACATTCACATATGAGGAAAAATTCAAAAAAAAAAAACACGCTTTTTAACTGTTTAGTTGTTTGATGAAAAAAACAATTATTCTATTCCAATTAGCAAAAAAAAAGAATTTTTTTTAATATTCAAAAAAAACTGCTCATTTAACAAAGAGGATTAAGCTTTACTCTGTTTTTCTCTTTTCCCAGTCTTTGTTGTTTTAAAGAATGTTCTTTCTGTAATAAGTTTTTCTCGATTTCATGAATACTATGCATATGGCATAATGGTATTATCATTAAAGCAATTGATTCTAATAAATGACAATGTTAACGGTGGTTTAATATCGAGAAACTGTTCGCCTGTTATGAATGTTGTAAACTGGTCAACCAACTTTGTACAAATATTTGCTAAATGGTACCCTACGTTAAGATGGAATCTTACTGTGCAGTTTAATTAAGAACTTCTGGATATGTTGGCAAAGTGCAAGTCGATAGTTGATGAAAAAAGGAAGACAAAAACTATCTGGAAAGTTGCCTGTTTAATCGACATTTATCTATCAATCAATTTACGTCTTAAGTTTCTGGATACGGTTGACATATTGAAAATGCGGAAGTACTAAAACTTTTTTCTTTTTGTATTTATTGAAACACTGTAAATAATTTTATTAGAAATCTGTAAAGCTTTTTATAAAGTTTAAAAAAAAGAAAGTGATGCGATATAACGAAGATTTCTAGAAATACTGTTGCCAATATCTGATACACAGACATTTGCATTATCAAAGAATTCTTCGTCAAAGAAAAAGCACTATCAATTTCTTAAACATTTAGCACTTTCAAATTGTTCCTTCTTCACTGGTCGAAAAACAGTAAACAATACTTTGAAAAAAAAGCTCAAAGTATCAAAGAAATTGCTCACTATCACTTAGTGTTTGACATTTTCCTGGAAAAAAATTTCTTCTCATTTTATTTAAAAAAAAAAAAAAAAAAGAAGAAATTTTTTTGCAGTTAACTTTTATAACCTAAAAAATTGAGTATTGAAAATTGGTTAGTAGATTATTCAAATGGTTGGTAAAGATGTTGTCTAGATGGATGAAGTTGTCGTTTGAAACTGTATCCAACCAGCATTGATACAGAACTTATACCCAGCACAATGCCAGAAAAAACTGTCATACGATTGTTAAAACTTTCGGTAAGCGTTCGTCGTTTAGTCCGCTCACATACATATACTAAAAAGAAATTTTTTTTTTGCATGCAAGAATTATTAAAACTGCATCGATACGTATAATGCATCAAAATACTAAAAAGAATGCAGGACTTAGTTTTATAAATGTATCGTCAGTGCTATCTAGCATTTTTGAATAAATTGCAGCAGAAGTAGTGTAACAAAAAAAAAGAAAAAGGACTAATAATATTACCAACTTAATGGAAACAGTAACTATAATTAGTTAGAAGAAAAGAGTAAAAAATAATTTAACAACTGAAAATTATTTGATAGAATTTCTATTCGTTCTTTACGAAAAAAAGAAGAAGGTACAGATAACTGTAGATAACAGTCTGTTCCTAAGCTGTTCTTCAGAACCGTTTTCTCAACTGCACGAAATGTTGCTTCAACTTTCCAAGAATCATTTGAAGCGAATATGGGAGACAGTCTTTTCAAAATAACTCTTGAAATAAACAGGAAAGAATAGGAATTAAAAAAAGATATCTGAAAAATGAAACTGTTACAGTTCGCATGCCGATTCTGAACGTTGTATGGCTGTATGCTAACTTCAGGTTCCATTTCCACAATTAACCGTTGTTGTTTGCTGTTCTGCAGGGTTATATTGACTCGATCTTGACAAATATACTTCTGATTTAATGGTGCACTAACTACTATCGCTGTAGAGCTATACTGATCTTCAGATTCTGCAAAAAGTTACAGCGAAGAGTAAAAAATGAAAAGAAAAAAAAACTTGCGATGAACTTTTTTTTTTCATTATACGACTTCAATTTTTAGATTTATAATAAACGAATGTGCCGTCTGATACAAAAAAAATCTTATTTTCTTTTTTTTAGCTTTATTAAGAATATTTTTTTCACGCAAATATAAAGAATTCAACAAAGCTGTCTGCAAGTAGTTGCAATGTGAAAAAAATACCGGGGTGAAAGATTGAGACACTAAGGTTCATTCGCCATCGTAGTTCTTCCAACTGTTTTACCGGACTTTTTACACTGGCCTGAATAAAACTGTGCTATAAGTTACATAAGGTAACTGTTTACTGTTTTTCTTTTAACATATTACTTCTTTAGGTACTTTTTCGATAAAAATGATGCAGTTAATGTGACTAAACTGAAATGGTTTAATCCTATTGTTTTTGCCAAAGTAAAATTGTTACTGACAATTGTGACAGCAAAAATTTTAATCTTTTTGGTATCAAATAGCAAAAAACAATATTTTTATTCCAAATTACTTATCAATCTTTAAACTGCAGTGTAACTATTATCTTTACAATCTTTCTTTTGCAGAAGAAATATTGTGCAGAAAAAATGAAAAAAAAAGGAGATGATTTCGACTAAGTTAAAGTTGCACTTTTTTATCTTTTTTTATATACAGCTAACTATCAAACATATTCCTATTTTTTTCCAGAAGGAAAAAATCAACTATTAAAAAAAAAATTAATTTATCTCAGAGGCATCTAATGACATCAAAGAAACTGCAAAATTATTGTGAAACTTCAGATTATTATCAGTGTTTACAGCTGACACTGAGAACAGCTATATGTACGCGAAAACTAACTGAGTGTAACATAAAGTCTGAATATTAAACTAATTAGACAGTGACAATAGTTGGTGGTAAAAATTTACTGAACAAAATTATATTAGAACAAA